AGAGCAGTTAAATCTTGTTGATTGCTATTGGAACCGTGTCAATCTAAAAGACATTTTTATTTATTAGCTTTCATTTGGTAATTTTCCTTGAAAAGAAACTGATGAATCAGTGGAGTTCAGTGGAAGCTGCCTGACCTGATGGGGATTTGAAATCTTATTCTAACAATCTGACAGGAAAATATATTACAGAAGTAATTACATATTAGCATGCTTTAAATAGTATCAAAACATCTTTAGATAAAAAGCACAGCCTTAGGTTCAAATGACTGCCTGGAAGTAAATTAGAAAGACATGCAATCAAACACAGATACCGATGTGTACTGCACACTTGACTTCTCTGTCTTATTTTAGTCATTTAAGGTCCTTATTCTATGGCAAGTATGCAGCAAGACACTTCCAGGTGTACATGCATTCTTTACAGGTTCCTCATGCTGCTTTCTTCAAGCTTACACTGTAAAAGGCAGTATACTGAGCAGTGAGAGATGTTAAGATAACGACTTATTACACCATGGCAAATTTCTGTGTTTGGTGTATGCAACTTACACCTAACTGGGGAAGTTTTGCTTAGAAAACCAAAAGGAAAAAGGAAAAATGAGCTTTACAGGTGTAGTGTAAGCATGTGATTTACCTGCAGATAAAAACTAGTAATAGCTAAAATCATTAATACAGATGAGCTGTGATTAAATCCATTTTATGTTTTTCTTGATTTGCTCTGACCAATTCATTTAAACTCCCTCCCACTCTTGTAACTGTCTTTAATCTTATACTAAAATAGTTCTGCTCAGAGGGTCTCTTCTGGGCAGTCATCAAGGGGAGATCTTACCAATGGTCATACATATATGAAGGGAGAGGGCAAAGAGAGCAGAGGCAGGCTCCTGTCAGCAATGCCCAGTGCCAGTCAAGAGGCGACGGGCACAAAGTGGGACACAGGAGGCTCCACCTGAATGCCAGGAAGCACATCAGTGCTCTGCAGGTATGGGGTCTGGCACAGGCTGCCCTGAGATGACGTGGGGGCTCTTTGATGCCTTGCAGAGCTGCATGGGTGTGTGCCTGGGCATCCTGTTCTGGGTGTCCTGCTTGAGCAGGGGTTGGACCTGATGGACTGAGAGGTCCCTGTCAGCCTCAGCCATTCTGTGACTGTGATCATAGTGCTCGCTTTTGGGGTAAGGCTCTCTAACGTATGTCAATCCAGCCCTATTAGAAACAAAAATGAGATACGTGTCCATCAATTTGTGCTGATGGCCAAACAATATTTTACCTCATGATCAGGCCATAAGTTACTGTTGTATTGTTGCAGCCAGTCTATTCTAATGCTAATTTTGCTTTAAGGGGGAAAAAAACTATAAAAGTCTATCTGGACATGATTACAAATGAATTCTGATCACATTTTCTACAATGAGATAAATGACTTGGGATTTGAAACCAGATGCTTTTAATTACTGATTTTCTTTGTTACATGAACCTCAGCTCCGCACCTGTACATTGTTCTTTCTTTGGACAGATGTACTGATGCCCCTTTTGCGTGCTCAGGTCTATAACACTGAGATAAATTATGATGGGTTCTTGGCTTCCTCCATTGAAAATGTTTTCAGCTGTCAGAGATATCTGTTTCTTGTTATTGGTTTTAGTGCTTTTGAAAGAAAGCCTGAAACACTGACTTGTGTATTCTATTATAAGTGAAGAGTGTTCTCCAGAGGAATCCACAATGAATGAATGATGCATCTCCTTGGAACTAGGAACTGCTATAAAAACTGTGTAGGTATTCAGTTCTCCTGAGTACTTCTAGAGTAAAAGCTTGTTTCATACAAAGATTCAAGCAATTCCTCCTCGCTTTATGTATATGAACTCACAAACTTGAAATTCAGCCATAAGTAGCGAAGACATGCAATCATCACAGAAGGTAATGAGAATTAGGTACATGTGTATTTTCAGGTCTGGCCATGGATTCTGGCAGATCAAGGAATTTACGTAGCCTATTGAAAGGAGTCTCTTACTGGTTTGGAGCAATTTCTTAAATCTCGTATCAGATACCGTCATTGGCAGAAGATGAACCGCTTGCAGATGACAGTGAAACTCATAGGCACAATTTGAGTCCCATCCCATCTAATGAGAAGGCACCCATGAGACCCCTTGTATGCCTGCCAGCATCCCTCAGAGAGCAAGAGGCCCTCAAAGCTGGAGCTGAACACAGGGCCACAGAGCAGAGGTTGGGAGGTTGGAGGAGGCTGCCTCCTAGCTCAAAGAGCAGGGGCAGGGGCCAGATTCTGATCTAAAATGGAAGCTCCTGGCAGTGTATCTTACGGGACTGAAATGTGGGTAGGCTCTGGCTTACACCCTTCTTGTTGCCAAAGTACAACGTGACAATCCAAACAAAAAGCTAGCACACAAGATTTCATCTTGCATACTTTTTTCAACCTTAAAAATATGAGGAATTTTGAATCTGGGGTTCCCTTGTTGAGCAAAAAGGGAGGCTCTGTGTACCTTGTTTTACTGTAAGTAAAGGGAAATTAAGGACTAAACCTTTAACAGAGATCTCTTTACAGTGAAGTATTTCTGTGGTATTTGAATTAACAGGTGCTAACAAGCAAGCAAACAAAAATTCCGACGTTTAAGTACCCTGATTAAAACGTCTCTTTTCATCTGATTGGTCTCAAGACCTGTTTCTTGTGATTTTGTATGGGTAAGAGGCTCTACAGGGGAGTCTAGAGCATTGAACTGGTTGCAGTTAGCTGGTGAGAGGCCTGGATAAAAGAGAGTTGTGTCTTTCATCTAACTTTGGTTACTTAACCCTTGATATTAAACTCACACTAATTGTAAGACTGGATTCAAAGTTCTCATTAATCATCACCTATGGACATCATAAATGCCTTAATCTCACTAGTTCTTCAGTTAGCGTTGTGTTTACAAAGAAGAAATGACCTAACTTACTGTAGTAAGCATCTATAAAAGCATTATATATAAAAGAAAGTTTCACTTTCCTTTTCCTTGGAGACACATCACCTTCTTGGTAGAGTTCTTATTTGTCAGTATCCCCAGCTTGTCTGGAGAACATAAGTGCTGTTATAAGCGACACAAGTGACTGAAGGCCTCACGGCCACATATAGAGAGACTGTGTTCAGATCCTACAAAGTGACCTTGTTAGGCCATTCAGGCACGTTGGTGCAAATCCCCGACTTTGTGCCACCACTTAAACTCATTTAACTTCAGTCAGATCGGTTTCACTTAAACTGATCGTTTATCACAGTAAATATTTTAAACTCAAATTTACAAATGCAACTAAGTGTATTTTTTAGATGATGTGGGTAATACTGGCAAAAAAATAGCAGAGAGAAAGCCAAGTGCAACACTCACGTAGGACTTAATATCAAAAGCTATGTTTCCATCTTCATATTGCTACAAATCGAAGTGGGCTACCTTTGCAATGGGCAAAATGAAATCAATTGTATGTGGCACATGCTACAAGAAATGCAAACGTAACATTTTGCCACCTGAAATAAAAAATAAATATGTATTCCAACCTGGATCGTGACAAACCTGTTTTCTGGATGCCAAAGCATTTCATTTCAATTAACAGCAATATAAGTTCAAATAATTTTACTTTGTCTAGCACACACTTTATACTAGAATTTGAAAACATATTCTCTGTATTGTATAATGCCAGTATAAATACATTTGGTAATGAAGTCAGATTTTGTTAGAACATTTTGGAGTGCATTAGATAATTCTGTCAAACTATTTAAATGTCTTAGTAAACCATTTGGGAAAACTGACTGCTGCACGTGGTGTTGACTTTGGCAACGGACAGTACAGCATACAGCTTCTATTTTGTTAATTAAAAAAAAATAAAAAGCCTTCAAAGAAAATTCTAAATCTTCTGTCAAACTTGAGTACACTATTTGTACCCTGCTCTGTGGAGATTTTGGCATCTTACATATTTGATGACTCAGTAATTAGATTTCTTGATAGTAATCATTTGGTTCATTCCGCAGCCTTGAACTATGCAATCCAGCCTTGTCATCATACTGATCCACAGTATAGAAATTCTTTGCATTTACTTCCAGATGAATGCTGAGACAGCTGACAAATGAGGCAAAACATTACATGTGTGCCAGAAAGGCAGAGCAGTTCACATGAAGAAAGGTAGTGTTAGGTGTTTCTTTCCTGTTGCGAACTGTCTATTTTATATGAGTAATGGCATTGTGCTATAAGCTGGCAAAGGCATAACAGTTCTCGAATTCAGTGGCTCCAAATATTAGATTATCAAGTGATTGATTTTTCCAACTTGAATGAATGAATGGTTCACACAAAACTGTGCTAAATGAAATTCAAAGACTGTTGGTTCAAACTAAGCTTCCCATACTGGCAATTAACATGTCATGTATGGGCTTGATTTTCGCAGTCATTAAAAATGTAAGCATAAATAATTCGCATACAGCAAGGGACTCGGACGGGGTCTGACAGTACTGAATGCAGATTATTCCAATTTAGAAAATGGTATTTGAGATCCTGAAAAATTCCAAGTTGTTATGCCATGAAAATAAACGGCTTGCTTTAAAATAACTATTTAAAAATACCTCCTGGTCTCCACTTCCTGATGTTTGGTTCGTAATTAGAAATTTATTTTCATCTCAGTCTGATATTTTGTCATAGGATATTAACTACGGTGTTTCTGCAAAGACTTTGCATTACTTACCTCTATGAGCCCTGAGATAATAAATCAGCTGTGATGTCTTCTCCAAGACTTATTCCACTAAAACCAAAAACAGCAGAGACCATTCTGATGGAAGCTTTGGCCTAAGCAAATGATCAAAATGTCTGGAAGAGCTCAGTGAGAAACTCAGCTCAGTCCCACAGTGAGGGCTGAAGGGAAGCGCTGCACTCATTCAGAGGAAACATGAGGGGGGAGAGAGAGAACTCACCTGGGAGCTTGTGGCCCCTCAAACAGCACAACTGAGTGCTGCCGTCATTCTGGTCAAACCTTTGCTTTTCTTTCTCATTAGCAGTACCAAAAGGTGAAGTGCTTTAGAAACAAATCCACTTTGGAGATAACCTTCTGTATGGGAACTGCTGAATCACAGCCTGAACCTCTGATCGATCACCTGAGCACTGAGTCAGCCACGGGAGCACAGGTGCAGGCAGTTCACCTGTGCTGCTGGAAGGGGCAGAGCCTGGCTGCACCTCTCCTACACCCATTTAACAGCTGACTGCCAGTAGGAAAGGATCTCTTCTGGAGATCCCTCCTCTGGAGTTTTGCAGCAAGCCCAGGATGTGGGTAAGCTTTCAATCTATTCTCTTTTTGTTATTATAATCTGCTTTGCTAAACTCTTGTTTATTTCATAATTATAGCAACTTTATATTCATTGACTATACACCTTCTAAAGTGTATCCTTAGTTTATTTCACTCTCAGTTGGGATTTGTTGCCTTACCTCCCCTAAGAACCCTATCGTAGAATCAACTGAAAGAAGAAACAGCTAAGCAGTGCATTGGGGAGCGGAGAGAGGAAAGCATTCTGGTTCCCTGGACTCAATCAGTCCTATGCTGTAAGGAAAGGATATCTTGTGGACTACCTTCATTTTGGATTCAGTCTCCATTCCTCCTGTTTGCACTTACTGCCCTCTGTGCTACAGAACACCTCACATTTACTTGCTGAAAATTCCATCTTCCCACTGTGCTCAGTGCCTCCTGTTGGCCACCTGTCTGCCATAGGCATGAGACTGTCAACAAGAATTAAAAAGTCAGGAACATGGGTGGGAGGGTAGGGAGAAAGAGCTGTTGAGCACAAACAGCTTGAGTAACCTCTGTGATAATTCAAAAAAAGAGATGTAGTAGCTTGTTCCTACTTTCCTCAGTGGCACTGTTCTTTATTCTGCCTTCTGTCCATTGATAAAAGAGAATGATTAAAATCTTTCTGGGCTTTCTTTTCCCCGTACAGAAGAAGGGATGAGACAGTTACTGAACAAAGATGGAAAAAATCCACGCTCCACTGATGGCTTTACTAAAGAACCTCAAACCAGTAACTAAAAAAAGTCTTACAATCTCTGTGTCTCAGGTTCCCATCATTAAAGCAAAATCTGAGTATCCCTCCCTGTCCCAAGTGCTTAGAAGAAAAGAATAAATGTTTTATGTTTTATTTGTATCACTGTAGGCACCATAGAAGCTTCTAGGATGAGAGCAGAGTTTTGTGGATTGCAGGTTCTTTACTGCTGAGATATTTTGAGATCCTCAAAAAAAATAACAGTACAGACATATGACATACTGTAGCAATGCAATCTATATAATTGATGTGATAATATATCCTCCCTTGATTAAGATCTTACTGGTTAACGCTTGCAGCTGCAAGGTGTATTACAGAAAGTCCTAACAGAGCGCAAGGAAGTGAGAAAGCCTGCCATCCTGACACAAATGAAGCTTACAAAGGCAAATACTGCTTCATTCCAAGTGAGTCACAGCTTGCTTTTTCACCCTTTGAATTTTTTTTTCATTTTAGCTGTCCTCTGCACTTATCCAAATCTACAAGAAGTCACCAAGGAAGAATTATAAAAAGCATTAAATGCAATTGCACTCTATGAAGAAAAGAAACCTCTGTATGTTGTTGAAGACAAAAACAACGACCTGAGTAACCTGATGGCAATATCAAAGTTTATCCTGCTTTGCTTGGAGGATGGATGAGATGACCTTTTGACCTCCCTTTCAAATTAAATTTTCTATGATTCTAAAACAAATGGCATAGCTTACTTTTGGTCAGTATTTTTCATTCAAGCAGCATCCATGCAAATTATAATAAACAATTAATTAGTCAGACAGAAGCCAAGCATGTTTCACAACACATACCCTTCCCTGGCACTCTCCAATGACGACTGATGGTGATGCGGACTGGAAAGGGCAGAGTCAAGAGGATGATGTCTTGAAGGGATGTCATGAGGCAGTATACCTGGTGAGGGACCATTATGGTTTGCGCTGGAACCACTGTACATGCCTGTGAAACATACATCAGGTTGCAAAATAAAATAAGCAAGGAAAGGAGCATCTAAGTAAGTCTGTGACAGTTCCTGACTCCTTCATTGTCCCCCACACCCACCTTGACACATGCACAGAACAGCACGCTGCTGCAGGGCAGTAGCAGAAGTTACTTCATCCACGGAGGCAGTACTTAGGCTATTTTCTAAGTTTACTTGCCATACACCTCACAGAGGTTTGCCCACTGCAGTACGTACACACAGAAGGACTACAACATCCACTGACGTTGTATTCTGAAGGCTGTGGGGGGCAGATGAGGTTTGCCAGCTTCCACAGCGTCCAGCTACAGCATGTCAGTCCTCGTGCATTCTGTAAGAGCTATTTTATTTGCCTTCTTTCTTCCTGTAGCATTCACCTTTCCTAGTTTGCTTACTGTGTGCAGAGTAACACATTCAGTAAACGGGCTGTGAGTCAGCTATGCTTTGACGTGTCCTGCTTTACTGGCAGGGCTCTCGATGGCACTTGTCCCAAACCCTCTGAATGTCACATAACAAGCAGAAAACAACAGGAAAATCTGGAGCCACAGGGAATGTGTGACAGCTCTCTCTGGGTGGATAAGCAATGGCTGAACGTCAGCATCTGTTTCTGTATGACTGAAGAGTAGAACCACTAAGGCCAGATTCTAGCCACCTTTGTCAGGGCCTTCAGATGAGTCAAAAGCCTCTCATGAACAATGAGTCCTCAGCTGCTGACAGATCCAAAACTATGAGAATGAACCATATCATCTCTGTCTCCCACTAGACAGAACATTTGTCAACCAGCCAGTGAAAACAACTTGCTTTCTGCACTGAAAACCAGACAGGAGGAGTTTTAAGAAGTCAGATGTTCCCAGGTGATGCTAGGATTTATTCGTCAAAGCCTCATCTGAAAACAGTAAGTCAGTAGCTAGGATGCTACATTGAGAATTCCATTATTCTGCTGGTGGTTTCAGTCCATTTTATAATACAATACATTCCCACAAATCTTTGTTGTTCACATGCTCATTCCCAGGCTTGGCAGATACCAACATGACTCAGATGTACTGTCACTTCACAGTTGGACTGTATCTCCCCACACCTCTCAAGTATATTAGCAGCACAGCTTGGAGGAAGCTGGTGAATCTAAGATATGTGCTCTCTAAGGATATTGGACTTCAGATAGTTTTAATGGTCTCTGTTCAAAGCTCACCCCAAAAGCTCGAAAACTCTCAAAAGATAAATTTCAATAGTGTTGCAGCCAGTAAACATACTCTTTTTTTTTCAAACAAGGCCCTGTTTGAAGCATGCTTACTGAGGTTTGTGGGATTAGTTCATCAGTGAGTTTTCCTTCTCTTACACCTTTATTCACCACAACACCTCGCTCGTACTCGGTTTGACACGTGGTGACTCTTGCTCTCACGTTCCCTGACCCTTGTGCTGCCTTACTGCAGGGCCACCAGCTCCCCTTGCCCTCATACCCCACCCCTGCAGCACGGCTGCCTACTGCCACCTAACCTGAAGCACATCAGAATCAACCCAGCCATCCCCATATCCTCTGGGACACTTTAATGAAAGTGACATTACATGTGTGCCAGTTGCTGCCGAGCAGCATACGGCCCAGCTGAGCCCTGCCTGCCTCCCCTGCAGAGAAACACTAATTTTGGGAGCCACTCTCTGCTATCTAGCTTCCACAACTCATGTAACTTGTTAGAACGCAATCATCTCTGAAGCATTTGTCAAATGTGATTGAGCTTAGCTAATGGATTAAAAAAAAAAAAAGTACTAGAGGGAAGGGGACCAACACACATATGGACAGAGGCAAGCAAAACAAATACACAGATCACACTCCCTATGGAAGTGAGCCTAAATCCAGAGCGCTGATTTGCAAAGCTCCTATCCCTTAGGTGCAGGGCTAGGGAGATGAACACAAGGAGCTGCAGGGCTGCTCTCACACCAGACACTGTGATGTGGGCATCGGGGCCCAGGGATGAAGCTCCGAAACTGCAGTCTTCCTATCAGATCAGGCCTCTGACCGCCTCTGAAGCTGCTGGATAGTGGGAAATCCAAGAGACACAAACAAAAAATATCAACCCTGTTGTTCCTTTGCTTTGCTTGCAGGGGGTGCCTGCCCGTAATTAAGACTCCTAAGACACATGGCACAAGCTACGGAAGATGAGTTTTTCTATGAGATTCCACGTACACTGCAGTAAGACATTAGTCATTTCTGTTGAGTCACTAAGAACTGAACTGGTACTTACTTGAAGTTAAAACTAATTTATTTCACACAGTGCAAAAGCAGGGCATTCTAACAGAATATTTACTTCCTTTAGAGAGACAGACCCTCTGCTCATAGGCACTGGGAAGGATGTACTATGCTAAGTACTAGGCTTGAGCAATTTCTTCTGCTACTCAAACTCATTTGGGCTGAGTTTCAATATGCATACTTTTTTGCCAGATTTAAGACACTCAAAATGTTGAGCTGCTGCTATGCCTGCAGTCCTGTGACTACCTAACTGCATGTGCCCAAGCATTCAGTGCTTCTACAAGGGAACAGTGGCAGGTTATCAGGAAAGAGTGAGAGTGAACAGCTTTCTCTGGGGAAGCAAGAGGTACCTGCTGATATGAGGGTGCAGTTCTTCCTGCTGCCAATCTGTAACACCAAGGAAGAATCGCTTCAAGGGAGAGAAATGCTGCATTTCCTTTGCAGCTGTGATTGCCTTTGCAATGGAAGAAGTCAAGGGAGAAGAGCAGTTGCTGCTTCAGTATCACTTTCAATACTTAAAAAAAATTCTTTTTTTTTTCCAGCAGTGATACAATATTTTTAGAACCTGAAGTCACACAGAAGCCTTTGGATCTGCTATGACTGTTCCTGCAAGTGCAGCCCTGTTCAGAACTGTGCATCTTGGGCCTCTTCACGCATTGACCATCTCAGCTTATAAATGTGCCATCAATCAGTATTTTAAATGGCTTGGCCTTTAACCTGAACATCTGTTGCCAAAATGGTACTCTGAGCATCTGTGACTAGGAGGATTTTTTTTTCAGCTTAATGCCAGGAGAGACCGGAACAAACCATAACAGACCATGCATGCCCAGAGAAAGTTCCTGCATGGGATTACCTAACAGAGGTAACTTGCTTTGTCAAGAGAGTGATGGCAGCTCTTAGATGCTGCTGGAGCTAAATGTGTGCAGCCATGAAGGAACACAGATATAAAGAGGAAAAAAAGAGGAAGGTCTCAGCAAACAATGGGTTTCTCTGACTGCTAAATATTCCTTTGCTCACTGTCTTACCCAGTCTTAAGCACAAACCTCCTTTGAAGTTTGACACAAGGGAATGGGAGTTTTCTTACATATTTCTTTTTCCTGTGATTGGCTTTCATCCCTGACATATTTAAAATGTGCTTCAACTTGGACAAAGACAAAACTGAAACTCTCCAGGAATCCAAGTGATCCCTAAAGCCCGGAGCTCCGCACATTAATAATGTGGTTTCTTTGGGGAAAAAAAAAGTTCAAACCATGAACATTTTCATATTTTCAAGTGGAATTAAGAGAACATCATGAACAGTATTCACCCATATACATTCTACACAGTATTATATAACTGCTTCGTCCAGAAATACTACCTCTGCTTATATGAAAGAGCAAACATGCAACTATAGGCAGCAGCAGGGATGTCCTTTTGTTTTAAATCTCTTGGGATCAGCACCTTAGCCTGTTAGCCCTGACAGTGACAGAGGAACAGTTTTTCTATGGAAATTATACCACACAATACGAAGTAACTTCTGTAAAGAAATGCTTCAAATCTTGATTTATTTTCCCTGGCACTTCTCCATACTGTGCATATGATGGGATCTCTTATGGGGTGACTAGATAGAAATACCCACAAAGATTCCCTAGGCTTCTCTTACAACATCCTGGTGACATCCTCATACAATCAGCAAAGAAATCATATGAAAAAAACAAACAAACAAAAAAACCAGTAAACTGATAAAATTCTTACTTCCAAGATGATTTTCTCAGAACTGACACTGAGAGGCCAAGGCTGGGCTGTCTATACGTACACTGAAAACTTCTTTTGTATCACTGTGACCATTTGAAATCAGAGGCTTTTCCTGGGGCTACTAACTGCACAAATGCACCTTGGTCTGAGGACAGCGTTGTCTGTCTTTCCTGTCCTGCTTGGAAGCAGGAGGCTGGACTGTAGGGTTGGAGAGCAGAGGCTGTGCGTTGCCCTCACACATCTTCAAGGGTGCAGATGACAAAGCCAGAGAATTGAAATAATCCCCCCCATGTCCCTCCAACCTCCTACAACTTTCTTAGGAGCCACATATGAACTGTGAGTGAGAACTCCCAGGGGAACGATGCTCGAATGATGGGTTATTTCCCTCCCTGCCCCACTCTGCTCACCAGGTACATTCTGACATACAAGCGCAATTTAAACTGGAAAAGGGAGTAGGAGATGGCAGGCAGGATGATTTTGTTATTGTTATTTTTAACAACCAAGAGAAAAGCTTGCCTAAATAATTGTAGTAAATTATTTTTTTGCAGCACGTTGCTCTTACAACACAAAACACATTAATAAAGACCTCCAGGTCGTTCCCTGGTGCAGGGGAACTAGCACCTGGCGTTCTTATTTTCTAATGCCAGCTTACCACTGGTTTTCTTTAAATCTCAGCAGGAACAAGGTGAGGTTTGTCTGGAAAGCTTGTACTAAGTCGGTGAATCAATTAAAACATATTTATTAACATTACTTAGGCAAGCCTTCGCTCCACAGTGGATCTGAAATAGGATAAATGCACCCTACATCAAGATGCATCAGATTCTTAGCTCTAAGCTAAAAACATTTTATGACTTTTTTGATTTGCATAACATTAAATGTTCTCTAATATTGACAAAGTTAGAAAGCATTGCTTTCAAAAAGACTGCAAACTATCCTACATGCTTAGACATATCATGGAACACACAGGAATACACAATGCTAACTGAAAATCATTAACTAATTATGAAATCGGTCTGTCCAAACCTGGCTTTACT